AGAGGACAGAACTTACAGTCCATAAAAGTCAGGACCAAAGTCCTACAACTACATTACTAAGAGGGCTGTTTCCTATTTTATTATGTTGTCCCACAGCAACACAGACAGATATCAGTGGTGGTATGCATGTAGACGTTGAACTTTCCATTTCTATATTCCATTGTTGATTTGTGTTTGTTTTTTTTGTTTGTTTTTGTTTTGTTTTTTAAACCACATAACAGATAGCAGCAGAGGGGCAGTCTGACATAGAAGTGCATATGAAGCAAAGGTGTGCCATTAAATTCCATTAAGTCCCTTTTGAAGTTATTGGCTGATGTAAAAGCAATAGTTCACTAACACATTCTGGGTCAGTCTCAAAATTAGCAGTTTTCCCAGTTGGAATAATTTTTGAATGTTTTGTGCTCTCTAATATAAGCTCAAGAACCTTGTATTCTTTGTTTACAAATAAATTAGTTTTTAACACTATCAGTCTTCAGTGCTAATTTCTAATTGTATTTACAGACTACAAGCAATAAGGTCTCCAGTACAAGTTGTTTTCCTTTATACTTCAAAGGGAAGATAAATAGAAGAATCACAATTTGGAAACATCCTTGCTACCAGCATAACTATTTTAATTATGTTTTCCTAAAGAAAAGCAAAAACTAACAATAAAACAAAAAACCCACCACACTGTAGCAGAATCAAATAAGATTAGTTTACAACTGTGCACAAAGAATTTCCACCTTTTCCAGAAGATCTGTACTAAAGTAAAAGTACTAACATTCCCAAGAGCTTAAAGGTAAGAGAATTGGACAAGGCCCAACTTATATTCCGCTGTATCTGAAAACTTACCTAATTAATATTAAAGTGTTAGGATGTCATATGGTGTCAGAAAATAGCTAAAAGATTAAAATTTGGTTATTTGATCAAGAAAGCACTGAATAAATGAAAACTATACCTTAGAAGTGTTATTGAAGCTACATAGTAGTGTTACCCTATAATAATAATACTGTCTCAGTGTTCCATAAACTAGCTGAGATCAGATTTTTTCATTCTAAACAAGCACAATGATTTGAGCAAGTGTGTTTTTGTTACATGAAATTTAGAACTTCATGAAAATGTAATAGAAGATTTATTTCATAAAGACTAAAGTTAGCCACTTAAACTATAGTCATTTCCATATTCTTAGCAGCAATACATATAAACAATGAATTGTGATCACTTCAATGACAAGTAATAAAAACTAAACTGATTTTTCTTCAAAATGTTCAGCACATAGCAGTGAGTATAAAAATGTGCTCGAACTTATACAGGCATTAGAAATATGTTTTTCTTTCTAAGAATCCAGATTCTAAGAACTTTTATAATTATCATGTCCATTCCTGTTTCAAAGGCTAGAAAAGTTTACTAGACAATACCTGTAACAACACCATCAACATGAAACATTAGCTTTATATACGCAAACAAGCTAAGACTGATACATCCCACAACCAGCTTATGAAAAACTTGAGAAGAGTTTTATAACAACACCAGCCTTATAATCTATTTGGGGATGGTCATTGTGACTTGAAAAAGTAAATGTAAATCAATGAAGTTCATTTACTTAGTTTTACTTCACAAGGTTGCTTAAAAAAAAAAAAAAAAAAAGTTCATGGATAACTTGATTCTATTGCTACAAACATAGTCTACATACCCTAAGACCAAATTTTCCTTTTTAAGACTTCACTGAAGCAATGAGTAGAAGCCTGAAAATTCATTTCATTCATTCCAAAAATAAGCCTGTCAGCTGAACAATATAAAGGGCAAAAGCCAGCTATCTTTTCATAAAAGCAAAATTCATTCCAAACTCTTTAGGAGAAAAGAATACAATTCTCACTGTATGCTAAGAAATTCTACATTTCGTGTTATTCTACATTAAGAAATTTACAAATAATTTAACTCCTTTATCTTAAAATTGCACCACTTCTGGAGACTCAAGTCTGGAAAGTGGGTACCATTGCTTCAGCAATATACAGGGAATAAAGGAAAGAGATTACGGCTGCAGCAGGCATTATCAAAAATGCTAAAGCCTAAAACTATTTCTTTTTATTAGTACAAATGATGGTTATTTGCACATTAAACATAAATTTTATAAAAGAGAAAAATAACTCTTGCCTTCAATTCTGATGCATTCTTATGATAAATATGTAAGTAAAAGAGATTAAATGTAACAAGAGTTACACTGCCTGAAAACCCACTTGCAGCACATTCTAGATAGTCTATTAATTACAGTATACTTAAAGGCAGATTTAATTTGCAGGACTTAAAATTTACTGTCTTCAACCCTAAGCCCCCATACTAGTGAAAAAGCTCTAGGCAAAAGAAAAAAAAAAAGCTGAAAAAATAATCGTCTGGTTTAACAAGAGGTTTTTCTCCTCCATTATTACTGACCAAATTACTTTTATTTAAGTAGAAAGATCTGTCTTACACAGGCATTTAGAGGAATCCAAAGTTGCACAGATTGACAGTAGTAGATTACAGAACACAAGCATACCAGATCATTGCAGAATGAAACAACCACCTTATGGATCTATGTGGACTCAAATAGCACGAGAAAGAAAGGTATTGAGAGCTCTGAAGACTGACAGAAAACTTGTTTCCATCATACCACAAAGTTTTCCCATTTGGTGTTGCAAGCCTTCCTGGAAGTTGGCTTTCAGGAAGCCAGGAGGTGCCAAGCCAACTGCTCAGACATGCATCATACTTAGGTGTCTTAGCAGTTCTATAAACATTTGGAGAACGCCAGTTATTGCCATTAGGACTGCTATCCATTTGTTCCTCTGGATCAGAAGCACTCATTACAGCATAATTGTATTTTGGCACTCAGAAATCTATGTAGGTATCATCCTGCACAACAGGCTTACACCATATAAGCTGTTAACAGTCTAGAGAACATTTTTCATCACTGACCTCTAGCTGTGGCACTATCACCTGATTCTGTCACAAGAAATATAAAGGAGCTGATCTACAGCATTCAAAGACAACCAGACAACAACTGAGGAGTAACTGAGTACGGAAGTGCTTAAACTGCACTCCAGGTTCTAGTAAAGACCAATCAGCATCTCAAAAATCAATGTGAACATCACAGATATGAACAGATCACCAAGTATAATCAGTTTCCAGTTGTTGCTATATCCAGGTAGAAACAAACAGGAGGGAATCCTTCAACTTAATTATAGCAATGGTCAGAATAAGGATTTTGAAGAAAACATATTAAAAAGCGACTATTTTCATGTCCACTGTCTCAACCTGGTGTGGAGAAAATCCACACACCTCTTCAGGTGAGCTACAATAACATATAACCTCAGCTTCAAGGTAGAATAAATCAGTCTAGTGCGTTATGATGTCCCAACACGATCTCTGCTAATAGTAGAAGGCATTACTGAGACTATGCACAAATGCATGTAAGTTGGTCTCCCACACTTCATGGCTTTCTTTTCAGAATAGTGTAAAATAAATGTGCATCATATTTTCAAGCATGTTTTTAAGAGGTTCCAAGAAAGGCTGTATTCTATTAATTGTGCATTCAGGCATCTCACTTGAACACTGCTGTGATTTTTTTTTTCCCACTCCTTTCAAGTGCTCTCAGTACAAAGGTCACTACTGCACTTGTTAGAAGATATCATCTATCCTGCAAACACCCCTTGAAAATGATCAGCAGTCTACTTCATGTATTAGTGGCAGAAAAATTGACATCCTAAAAAGAAAAAAAAAACATGAAATGCCAGCACACTTGCAGCGACACTTACTCAGACACCTAAACTAGGCATACGGAGTCAGAACAAAACAATGCAATGAAGAAACATACGTAGTAGAGCAAAATACAAAGAGCAAAAGAAAACAAAATAGCTACAAAGAAATGAGAGGTTATACAACTCTGCAACAAGAATTCTTCAAGTACCATGACAGAAAAAAACAGTCAAAGTGTCTGCTAAATTGCTGCAATAAAATGGCAAGAAAAACACCCATAATGTGCAGTTGATGGGCAAAATTAATTACTCAGACAGCAAAGGATAATTGCTTCTGGAATAAATTATAGCCTGCTGAGAAGAGCTAAATCTGCATATGGAGCTCACAAAGGAACCATCCCAGAGCAAAAGGTAAAACTCAGATGCTGAGATACCAACTGGAAAACAGTCAGATCTATTATAAAAATGACAAGTCTAGAGTACTAAAATGCCTAAAGACTAGATTTATAGAAAAGTTTTTAGATGCACAAGGATTCAGATAGCTATTCAGAAATACTTTGATGCCTAACACCCTTTACATAAACAGATATTAAGTACATAGACAGCACTGAAAATCTTACTAGATGTTTCCCCACTATGTAAGATTTATGATAGCATCAGAAACCTTGGTCACAAACACCCCTCCCTCAGAAGCAAATGGACAGAGGCCATTTCCAAATTACCAGGTTAGAGAACTACCTACAAGACTCTCCTTTCCACTGCCATCAGTTTTCTACTGCAGAGATTGAAGGCAACCGCTCCACTGAAGTACTGTTATAACCCTATATGAGGATTCCATAGCCACATGCTCACAGAGCACAGCCACCACCAGTGTTATGACAGGTGCACAAGTGGGCACAGCCCTCGGGCAGCACGGAGAAGCAACCAGTCTGCAGCACAGCAAATAAAGGTAGGCCTTAGGAAATAAGCATCTTCAGCAGCACCTACAGCAGCTCTCACGGTTCCACTACCCTAGGCAGTAGCTAAACAGCCAGGGAAGAAGGTGAGGGAGGTGGAATTAATGGCTGCTCCTTTCTGTTAGCCTCAGCCAACGCGAGCAAGCTGCCCTCAGAGCAGAGCTTCCACATCCCGCCTCAGACGTTTCAGAGGCCGCCCCCGTCAGATACCGGCAGCTCTTAGGGTCGCTGACATCCCTAACGCTCCCGCGCAGAGCGTGCACACAAAGTCAGTCACACCACTCTCTACTCGTAAAATCCATCCCCCTTACACCAGCCCCACACACCGCGGCCTCACCCGGATGCGGATTTCACGCTCGCCCCCGGCCCGCCTCTCCAGCCCGCCCCCTTCTCCGCATCGCGCACATAAGCGCGCGTGCTCGGCGCCGACGGTCTGTGATTGGGTGCCGGTGCGAGCACGCAGGGAAGTCAGCGCACTGCCGGGGCGGGACACGGCGGCTATAAAGGGCGCGATGGGCCGTGAGATTAGCTGTGTGCGTGGTGGTCCTTTGCCGGTGTGCGTATGTGGTGTAGAAATATGCTTGTGCTGGGAACTGTGCTCACAGGGTATTCCTGGCTCCCGGATGTATTCTTTACTCTTGGCTTTTGATTCTTTAGTTGCAGCATGTTTGCTTACCCTGTGAGGTGATCTCAAGTTTTAGTACCAAGTTAGTATCGGTTGTCTTCAACAGAATAAATCAGCAGTTTTAAGGATTTTTGTTGTCTGCATTAGTTAATCTTCCAATATTATTCCAATATTATTCCAATATATATATATTATATATATAATATGTAATATTATCTTCCAGTATTGTCCCAGCTAAAGATCAATGCAAATGTAAATCGAATTGTAGAGTTTGTTCATGAAAGTAGGAGAGAAAAATTCATAAAAGAACCTTTTCATAGAATTATAGGATCATAGAATTCTTGGGGTTGGAAGGGATCTCTGAGGGCTATCTAGTCTAACTCCCCTGCAATGAACAGGGACACCACAGCTGGAGCTGAATAGTCTATACTAGTATTTGGGTGTTCAAGAAGTTCTTGAGTAGTCATCTTACTGATTTCTACAGCACTAAATGTGCAAAATCAGGTTCCTAGGGCTTCAGGACATTCTTTCTGAAATGGTGTTCAAATATGCTCTTTTTGGGACAGAACACCTACTCATACTTTCTCAGTAAATTGAAAATCGCACTTTTTTGATTGTCAAGGTATTATTCTCTTTGTATGTATTAATGCAAAATTCCATTAATGGCTTTTATGCAGAAAAGCTTAGATATTCTATCTTGCCTCTCTGTGACATGTTCCTTTTCATTTTTAGTATTTGCCATACTGTTTTTGAATGTTCTGGACAAAAAGCAAAGAGATGTTAGCTCTTACCAAGTCAAATTAGTTAATTGCATTTTCCCTGTGTTTTTATAGTAAAGCTGTATCTTTTGGGTTGTGAGAATTAATGTATAATATACCTTATACTTTTTATGTAAGGGAAAAAATCCCTTCAAAATTAGCCTATTTTATCTACTTTGAAAATTTGTACAAGTGCTAATTGTATTTTTATCGTTATTACTTTTTCCAAGTTTAAAAAATAGTGAACATTAGCAGATGTCTCTTATATTTTCAGTATCAGTGTTTATTAGAAGAGAAAAAAATCAAATTTATTTTGATTTTCTATTATTATTAGGATTAAAGCAATTATTAATATTAGATAATCACAGAATTGTAGGAGTTGGAAGGGACATCCAGAGATCATCTATGCCAACCCCCTGCTAAAACTAGATCTCTAAAGCAGGTTGCACAGGAAAGCATTCAGGCAGGTTTTGAGTATCTTCATAGAAGGAGACCACACAGCCTCCTTGGCAGCCTGTTCCAGTGCTCTGTTGTCACTTTCACAGTAAAGAAGTTTTTTCTCATGTTCTCTTGGAACTTCCTGTGTTCCAGTTTGTACGTGTTGCTCCTTGTCCTACCACTAGGCACTGCTGAAAAAGCTACCCGCATCCACTTCTGCCCTTCACATATTTAATTTTTTTAACTTATAAATAGTTATAAGCATGATAAGATCCTCTTTCAGCTTTCTCTTTTGCAGGCTGAACAAATGCAGGTCTCTCAGCCTTTTCTCATACAGGAGATGCTTCAGGCCCTTCAGCTGGAACCTTTCACTGGACTCTCTCTAGAAATTTCCTGTCTTTCTTGAACTGAAGAACTCAGAACTGCACCCAGTATTCCAGATGTGGCCTCACCTAGACAGAGCAGAGGGGGAGGATCATCTCCTTTGACGTGCTGGCCACTGGAAGTATACACCACTGGAAGATGGAAGGCAAAATTATTACAGCCAGAGTTAGGCTTCTCGAGGCCTTGAACAGAGGCCAAGGCAAGTCTTCTCTGCTTACACTGCAATTATTTTATTTTCACCATTGGTTTCTGTGATGTCAGACTCAAGCAGTTGCTTTTAAAGAAGACTGGAAAAGATCAGGAACCTCTCAAAGAAAGGGAAATAAATGGTGTTTGGCAAAAGAAGTTTTTGTCCTTCTAGTTCTACCTTTCTTTATATTCCTCATCACGTGAATATAAACTCACTGTTGCAAAGCTTACTAGCTACGTACAGGCATTTGAAACAGGATGGTTTGTTAGCCTTCATAATTCATTTATTGTTGGCTGACTGAGAGTCTGAAAATTTATCTTCCATTCCGGCATGGACCATGATCTGGTGTGTATACCAGATTACTTACACACTTCTGCTAATTAGCTCCCAGTATTTCTTCGCTGTTTTGAGGAGAAATTGTGTTGTCAGCACAGTATTTTTCAATAATGTTTTAATGGTCTAAAATGTATCAATTAAACATGACATTTACTGAATTTTCTCAGTGCTGAGATAATGACGCCACTCGTGCCATTTTCTAAGTAACTGAAGAAGATAACTAAAATAAGATTTTAATTTCATTAGGTAGATGCTCATTAAGATCATGGTATCTTGTGGAGTTCCTAAAAGCTTACAATGCAAATAGTGCCTAATATTCTGAGACTGTTTTAATTTCCATAAAACTTGAGTATTCATAGTAAACTATATTAATCTAGAAAACAAATTAATAAACTATTGAATTCGTCTTTCCTTGATTTAAAATGCTCAATGGTTTCTTCAAACAGTATGCAAGTCTTCTATTCTTAATTTATGTATCATTATCGCAGAAGAAGAAAGCATTCCCAGTACTCTAAAACAGCTCAAAAAGTAAATCAAATATTGAAGTGTTGTTTTTTTTCATGTACAATAATGTTTACACTATACAAAAATCAATTTCAATATCAATTCTGTGCAGTTTAGCTTAGTGTAACACAAGCCTCTGTATTTTATTGTTTGTTGGATTGTTGTTGTTGTTTTTTTTTTTCCCACCCCAAGTTAAGTGGGAAAGTCCTTTAAGTCTATAATTTTCCAAATGCCTGTATTTTATGGTTTTCATGGGGTCTGATGTGGTTTTGTTCTGATTATCCTCTTCCTTGCTGTGTTGCCACACTAGCCATGGAAATACACTGCTATTGGTGAATTTATTTCAGCCTTTAATTCAGCTGACCTGTTCCAAGTTAATTTTAAAAATCTCCTGAGATATTAATGTCCTGTATAGTTTAAGAATGTTTCCTACCCTAATGTACTCCAAGGAAATAGAACAGTTTTTTTCTTGGTATGTAACTCTACCATTTGTTGGATATCCTAATTCAGACAGATCTTCAGCAAAATTTGTTGACATTCTTCAAAAGCTCTGGGAAACTAACAGACTACGAGACAAAAATGAAATGAGAAACTTGAGTTGCCTCACTTTCAGACTCACTCACTAAGCCTGAACAGAATAACATAGTAAATCTAAATTAATCAAGGAAAGAAGAAACTGGAAACGAAATACATTGCAAGCTATATACTTATTAAAACTTTTTAAACTAATAAAAATATAGGAGCTATACAGGAGGCTTATATTTTCAACTGATTGAAGATAGCAGTTATTAAAAGACTGGTTGTATTTGATATCTGTTTTCAACTTCAAACTGCATTTCCCCCTAGAGTTTTATGAAATATGAAATGTTTCTACAAATGTGCTACATGTAGGATGGATTTTTTAGGGGGGTGAAGGGGGGAGGTTGTTTTGTTTTATTTTTGTTTTGGAGGGTGGGGTAAATATTTATCCATACTGTGTTGTAAATCGTCTTTTTGAATTTAGAGTTGGTGATCTATTTTTCAACTACCTTTTTCCAAGTTTATGTGTATGTTAAAAGCCTTCATATATGCAGCAGTGCTATGCTGGAGACTTCTTTGTGAAATCCTTTAAAGTATTGAAGACAGATTTTTGATTCTCATACTGGTCTTTTAAAATCACTTTTTGCCTACATTTGTGAGAGCAATTTATGTTCAGTACTCTCAGTTGAAGTGATATTTTCCTACTGTATTTTATTTTCCCTCATTTAATGTTAAAATGAATAAATATTTGAGTTCATACAGATTCTAGAGAAAACAATGTTGCACAAAGAAATCACCTAGTTAATCATGGTAAACTGCACAAGTGCTGGGAGTTTGTTTAAGCTCTGAGGGAAATGTCCAAGTCATTTTTAAAGCCATTACAACCATTCTTGCAAGCATTTTAAACCAGTCAGATATTGTCAACAAGAACTATGTCTGTGTTCATCTGATGGTGGCTAATGTACATACATCTTTCTAGGATTTAAAAGAGTGAACAAACAAGAACTACAAATTTTCTCCACACCAAGTTCAAGAACGCTGAACTGTGTCCAAAACAAATAGTTTCTGAGGACAAAATTGTAGCCGTTTGAAAATAATTCTGTTTTTCCACTTGGATTTCTTCGAACATCAGTATTCAAAACATCTATGGGTCATTCCGAAACATCATTTCATTTCTAAAATAATCAGTACCATCTCAACAACATTGCTAAAATTTATAAAGTTAAGCACTAAACCCTGATTTCTTGAAGTCAATCTTTTTGAAGGTAAATTCAATCATACAGTAGTCTTCTGAAGGTTTTTATGTCACCTTCCTAACGTTTTGCTTTGTGGTTGGTTTCATACGTTTATTTCAGTATTTAATAAACACATGCAAAAGGAGACAGATTTTTAAGTACTACTGGATTTATCTCATTAATTAGGTCTTGTAGAGGCTTCTCTAGGAACTGGACAGCAGTTAAATAATGATTTATTTAGTGATACTGAATTACTGAATCATTTCCTTCTAGTATCTCTACGCAGGCCACCAATATTTGAAAGGTAGGGCTTTACCTTGGCTGATAACCAGAGCTTTAAAATAGACATGATGGGGGAAGAGTGTGTACTTCCAAGTAACAGAG